AAAGTAATTGCAAAATTGGCAATAAATCATTCAGATCCTCTCGGCTCGTTGAGAAGAAAATATCTGTAACAGTATCAAACTATTTACGTATTGCTGCTGTTACCATAAATGTTTCTATACCTCAAGCAAACCGTTTTCTGTGACTGTTTATTCGAATTTGTTGCTTTCTTCTTGTACATTATGCAAGAGATTTCTTGATACGTGCTTGAGAGCGATTATTTTGTTATTCAGAATATTCTTAATGGTAGTCGTGATACATATCAGTATTACCCCAATAGAAGTCGCCTATGTAGGATTTTAATGCCCCTACATGAATAATGCAAGAGAGTTATTTTAAAGGCGGGTGCTTAAATTTGAATTTTATTAATTCCATGTCAATATAGAGTACTTTTCCTTAATAGAATATTTCATTAAGTAACTACCAGTTTATATTTTTTTATGATATACTGCGTATTTATCTACACAAAAGCTGCTTTGTCCAGACGTTAGCAATCTCTTATGATACCTTTACGGTAGCGGACCTATTATCTTCTTCGATACGTTTCAGATCAGAAGAGCAATTCAACATGGAGCAAGTTACACGCAGAAGAAAGAGCAAAAATGCAATGGTCATCTAGTTTAAAAACAAAGCTGAGATACGCCCGAATCACATCAGCAAAAGAAAGACAAGAATGAGTCATAGTTTGGGGAGGAATCGATTGGGGAAAAGTCATGTAGGCAGGGTTTCTCGTCTATCGATCGACCCCTTCTCCTAAACACCCCAGAGCTCAGTTACTATGTAATTATCTCTTGCTAGTAATTATCACAGACTATTCCTTTTCAAACTAGAGATGAATGTTTATCTTCTTCAAATCTGACATGGCTGTGGTTTATAGTTTAGCCAAGATTTTTACGTGTAAAGTCATGAATACAAACAGTAGCTATTTTTTTTTTATGAATTTGATTCTCTTTTACAATAAATAGCTTTATAAAAAATCAGAACAAAATTAAACATTATGATATAAAGAACTTCGAAATTTCCAAAACTCCTATAGGAGCTTCTTAGTAACGAACTGATTGTAGTAACTTTTAATGAGGTTAAGATCTCTATCTCTCCTTTTCCCCAAAACTTCGCTTCGAAGTCAAGAGGAATTAATTATTAATTATGAATATTCTCAATTCTGTTTAGTGAGTGGAATTTGTAATTTGTACTATTTAGGAAGTCTAACTTCAAGAGGATCTAAATATGCATATTTAATAATTGTGTGCATAATTAAGCGAAATTTTCGAGAAGTAAAATGCTTCATTTCTCAATTGTAAATTGCCGAGTTGAAAAGTTTGTGTTTAATCTGTCACGTTGCTTGACAGTTTTTAAATTTAATTATTAAGAATTTGCATCTTACAATTTTAAAAGCGCAAATTATTCTTTTTAATTATCATTCTTAAAGTGCCTTGGAGTTTTAGGTTTTATAACTGCTTTTCTAAAAGTTTACGTTTTACATTTGGTAATTAGTTTATCGGTAAAAAGAATAATTTATAGGTGGGATGGGATTTTATATTATTTTAGCATTATTAATTTAGCATTTTTTCTCATTCAGAAAATCAAATTATTCATATGAGATTCTACGTGCTCTCCTCTTTCATCACTTACTTCTTCGTCTACTTTGAAACCATTATAGGCCTATGTTAATTTATACTTAATGTTCTTATCGCAATAAAACTAAAATATAATATAATAACAGCTATTTGTGAAATTGCTACTTACTCACTATATGATGGAGATGCGATGCTAAATTATAAAACTCTCAAAATTTTCATAGTTATTTGGAAATATCACGAACAGAGAGGGATATATATATATTTTCAAATAGTAAACTTTCATGCAAATATATAGAAACGACAATGGATTTTAGATGTGTACAACTCATGGACTACTGCACAAGCCGTAAATGCAGAAAAATATTGATTAAATGATTAAGATAAAAGCACTGTCAGCAAGCATTTATTTATGCTGAGATTAGATAAACAATATTACAAACTGTAAAGTTCTTATGACAAATCCTTAATCTGGAAAAGTCGTGATGGGGAGGAGAAGTGACGGAACAATCCCGAGGTGACAATTCCTAGACTAGTGTTATCACTAAGGCTACTATGATAGAGATGGAAAAGACAGACATCTATCGCTACAGACTACCCCGGAGGAAGAGATAAAACGCATCACGGACCATTCCACCTAACTGTACCAGAAACAATCTTTCTATATATTCTTTTTCTTCATTTTTCCTGATGTACAATTTCAATAGCCATCGTCTAAAAAACAGCATTTTCGTCAACAAAACTTTTATTACGGCACTCAAGAATTCTCTTTAAAAATTCTTCTTCGTTTTTATAAAATTGCAGCGGCACCGAAACAATTTCAGATGTCCAAGTTATAGAGGAGTAACTTTAATTATTAAGAAGTCGGACTGGTTGCAGTCAGTGAGTCATCTGTGTGACGGAATTTCATTCCTGTACAGTGCAGAATCGATCGTGTGGATCAGGTGGACTGCTTTACCATCTGTAAATTAGTGTTCTTCTCCCTTTACTCGTGGGATGAAGTAAATTTTCATTAGGGATTGCTTGATCGTGCGTCATCCCAAATTTGTATAGGATTTTATGTTGCGGAATGTCCTTCTTCTCATTGGAAGTTTAAACATTAATTAGGGTTTAAGGATATGATTTATGAAGCTGCTTTATTTGAAACTTTCTCTCGAGAATTCTGTTTTTTAATGAGAAACTTATAGTTTTGGACTTCCCAATAATAAATTGCCATTTGTTTTATCTCTTAAACATGAATACAAATAATTAAATTATATAAAATGAATAATAATATTGTATACATAAAAATTTTCTCGATTTTACACAAAATCTATCGTCTTAAACTGTTGAAACCATTCGTAAATTAATCTGAAATGATGCTGACATTTGCTGAGTTTCCACTAAAAATATCAATAAACTGCAGCCTTCTTGACAATTACATTTCTAAAATTTAAATTTTCTAAATTTTGTTTACACATTTTGTGGCGCATTAAAATAAATTTCTCTCTTTGTTTGCTTAGTGAAATAAATTTAAGATTTCTAATTATAAATGAGATGTTGGCTTCACTACATAGCACGGTTTATTGCAGTAAAGATACATTTACAGGAGTAAACGCTTTATTCGCATACTATCTATTTTAAATTTAAAATTTATGCTTAATCATATACGATATAATTATGGAAGTTTTTAATTCGAGTGTAATAGTATATTTTGCAATAATAAATGAGTTAAACGCTAGTAATGACAGATATTAAGGTTTCAATCGCGACATTCGTTCTGATAACATCGAGTAAATTTATCACATGAACGATAGTAAACAAGCGAAAAATAAATTTTCATTCATTCGTAATTAAATAGTTTTCCAACATACTTTTACTTTAATAAGATAGAATTAATTAAACACCGAAAATTTTAATGCTATATGCATAATCACACAAATTCTACAAACACAAAATTAATTATGTTTAGTTATATAGAATCATTAAATATATATTAAAGAGGGAACATTTAAGGTCATTAGGTATGTGAAACCAATTTGATGCGAATTTTCTACCAAATAAATCATGGTTATCTCAAGATAGTCTTGTTCTCATTGGCATAAGCTACATTAAATGCATCATTTGGTTTGTCGTTATAGTAAAGGGATGGTAGAGAACGAAAATGAACTCTGGGTTATAGTGGTGTGTGGTCGCAGGTCTTTGACATTAAAAAAAAGAAAATTATCTTCTTTCAAATCAAGATAGATATGCAGAATTTTTTTTTGGCAAGATGTGAGAATTTTGGGTTAAGAGAAAAAGGTTTATAAAAAATACTGTGCAAGGTTTTTCCATGTTAAAATTATATTACCAGGCATTTAAATATAGCCGCCTTTAATTTAATATCTATACTTTTAATCTAATTCTAGTCATTTAAAAAATTAACATTAAAGATAAGCGAGTATAGTGTAGTTTCTGGTTAATTTTTCGTTGAAGTTAATAAACGTTCAAGTTCTTCAAGTTTATAATTTTCTTGATAATTTAATATCTGTAAATCTGGAAAGATTAAGTAAATAATACAGCAAATGCAATTATCAATAGTTATGTAAACAGTTTAAGGACGAAGTATTTTTTATTCAATAATATTAAAAATCAATTTTCTGGGAGAAACGTCGGCTTTATTAATTTCGTAAAAGGAAGGGGGGAAAAAATTCTATGTTTCGCTCCGTTTCGGCTAGTCAACAGCTTAAAACGAGGAATTTGTAGAGTAAAGGAGACAAGTACTGTAATACAAATACAATAAACCCGTACAGGAAAAAAGGAAAGAATTTAGGGATTTAACACGTGCCGGTTACAGACTAAAATGGATTTTTGCAGCAGGATATTACAAATAATGTTTAAACAGAAAGATAAAAAGATTTATCACATGAGTCACCTTCCATCCGGAAAAGCTTAGAGCTGCTTTACATTAACGTATCCTACAACAATCCAATGTGAACATTACAAGGATTACTTCGTCTATTTAATAATTAAATATAAATAAAAGGAAAGAATAAATACACGTTACGTTACTTCGGTCGTTGAACTGTTGGAAAAATCTTTTAAAATCTTATTAAATGGATTACAATATTTAAATTGAAACATCAATTTTCTCATGTTGATATAATGTTAACCTAGTGTTGTTGCTACCCATTATGTTTCAACGTATACTACTATATCTCACTTCATCCTCAATTATGTCCGAACTATAATTTAATGTTATAAACAGGAAAGTTGTGTCGAGGTCAATAAGCAATTATCATTTATTCAGCCTCGTTATATTGTGAGATTATTTATAAGTTAAATGCTATTTACAATTTTATTTTTAAAATATTATTAAACGTTTTATAATAATTTTAAAGTTAGGAAGTCGAATTATTGATTGTATACAGTTTATAATTTTTTTTTTTTGTATTTTAAAATTTCAGATGGACTGTGGAAAACAGATCTGGACTTTTTGATGACTCATCGCGAACGACTGGTAGCTCTTAGCTTCTTGTCGACAGTTAACGAGACAGAACTGTGGCAAAGAGAATCAGCAGACCTGAAGAATGCTAAAAATCTAGACTTGCAACTGGACGACATTCCTCCAATCTCGTCAGAATACCTTAATTACGCTACGGCGCTCTTGGTGTATGCAGTAAGGTACCCTTCGGTTTTTTGGAAAGTCAATAAGTGTTTCGGACTTATCTTCTCTTTCCAACTCATCTTAAATGGCCTGCAACAGCTACTATCCTTCACAGGTTTTGCCGTTTTGTATAAAGTGCAGATATATGGCCCCAGGACTATCCTTCTTCGATTTACGCCTCTTTTACTTAACGTGCCACTATCCGTGTTGTTGTTTTTAGTTTACAATATCATCATGACGCTCTCTGGCTCTGTGCTTTACATGTACGGATTGCAAAAGCATCGAGAGTGGTTAGATAGGGATGTACAGAAACATCATGTGACTTGGAAGAACGAAGCCAAGAGGCTGTGGGGTTATATCCCTCACGTTAGTGCATTTTTAGTAGTACTGATGATAGCCCTGTCTGCCGCGCCGCTTATGTATGACTACACTTTAGTGTACTGTGGAAGTTTAGACGGTGCGGTGCTGGCAGCTGTCACCGGTACGGTAATGCATCTTTTCTTGTGGATTGTGTTCTGGTTGATGCTGACTGTGAAACAAAAATGGAGTTTCGCTTCCGAATCTATGCCCTACGCTCATTCCATGTGTAATGGATATGCGGGAAAAACTGCTAACGAAAGCGTAGAAGGATACAGAAGAGGTAAAGAAGCTCCACTTTTGGTAATAGACAATGGCCAAACGTTTCAGGTACGAGAGAAAATGTCGAAGAAAGCTATATTGAGCGTGGCGCAGAAATCTGCTACTTCCAGGAAACAACCCACCCCGAGTGATGATGATGATATATATTGGCTGAAACCTAAACCTCCATCTCCTAAAGACACTAAAAGCTCTCCGGAAACGGACAGATTGACTTGGCTAAAGAATCAAAGGAAATCTCCAGGAACTAAACATAAAGTCACTTTCGACGAAGGCCTCCTTAGTAGTAATTCCTGTAAACGCACCAGGTCATTGAAATCGCCTAAAAATTCTGGGAAGCACAAGAAGAACGTTAAATTAGAAGATCTGTCGGATTCAAACTCGGAAGAAGGCGATTATGCCACTCTAAAGGATTTGCCTCCTCCACCGCGACCAGACGAAGATGGCTTTGAAGTGCAGGTGAGAAAAGCAGAATAACTTTATATTTTATTATTAGAAGTTAAGTGGTCTTCAAATCATGCAGAAAATTGAAAATAGATTAAATTCTAAACGCTCATTCATTGGTGTTTTCTCTTTAATAAAAGCTTTTAATTAAAAATATTCTCCAGGAGTAGATAAAGGTGAAAATTTACATTCTATTAACTCGCATTTATTTTTTGCCCCTTCAAATTTTAGTGTAACGCATAGAAAATTTGAAATTACTGATTTAGAAGTATAAATATCTTGTGTTCAACTTGTAAATCTGTTTAGAAGCACAGGCAATTACTCAATGGTTAAACATCATTCAAAATTACGTAATTATGAGATGATGAACGTTAAAGACATGTTTATCTTCAAGATATCGATTTTGGAAAAGCAAGTTCGATAAGCGTTTTTTATTTAAGAGGAAAGGACAATAAAATATTCTGTTTAAATAGCGATGTCGCACAAGTTCATCAATCATATTTTCCTGTCCTTTTAGATAGAAAATGGGTGGGACAGACAGAAGCATTATCACCGTCAAAACGCCATTTCCCTTTTATTATTAGCCTTTCTCCACATAGACAAATTGCTGTATACCGAGTTACACCATTAGTTATCTTTAGAAAGCATTTTTGTAAATCTTTTCAAAATTCATTTAATAATATCTTTTTCTAAACGGCTAAGAATAATAAACAGCATCCACTAAGCATTCATAAACGTGGAAAAAATCTCAAACTTTTGAACTTTTTCGTTGATTTACAGCTGGAGTAAAAATAGAATTATCGATATACAGATTACGCGTAAAGAATTTTATCGAGTCGAATAGAAAGAGCCAAAAATACTTTATTGTTATAACGAAAATGGCTCTGCTGTTACCGTAAAGTGATAAAATATTAATGCTTTTTTCATTATTTTCAGAGCCAAGATGACGTGACGGATATGAAAAAGTTGGATGATGGTGATTACGAATTACTTCTGGAGGAGAACCCGCCCATTCGTCAAATTAATGCACCGGTTGTAGTACACAGTGCCAACGGCCTAATCGGGGGTAACATCACACCAAAGAGTACCAGGAGCACGGATTCCGGAGCCAGTAAAGGCAGCGTGGATCAAAATTTGACCCCTCGTTCGGGCTCAGTCAGCGAAACTTCTACCACTCCCGATCGAGGAGGAGGAAGTGATTCTTCCAGTGGTGTCCACTCTAATTCTAGCGGGGGTGGCGATAAGCGGTCTACTAGTATGGAAAACTTGACACCCATCAGTTTTCCCAGACACGCGTGGAAGAGCATGTCTCTTCAACGTAATATTGCCACCCCCGGGGTCTTGATGCACGGCAACCAGACTTACAAACCGGATGCTGGGATCTACTACGACCCTCGCGAGACCACAATGGTGATATGGAGGAAGCCAAAATTAAGTAAAGATGCAGCAAGTACGGGTGAACCGTTCGGCAGAGCAACTAATATCAGAATGACTTCTTTCTCGGACCAACCCGACTACGGACCAAAGACTGCTCCCACTTCGCCCAGACAGCTGATCAACCAAAATAGGAACCACACGCTGGGCCATTACAGCAAACCTCTCAATCCTCATCTCATGATGGCTCCCGGAGTGCAGATGCAGAGGAGGGACTCTGCCAATTATTCTCTAACTTCTTCGGGTGAATCCGACAATTACATGTCTCAATGTTGACAATCTCGAACCAGGCAATAAGATGTGCAATGCGGAGAACGGAATTTATTTTTTTAAAGGAAAAAAAAATATTCGAAACACTGCAGACATCTTTGCTACTTTCTTATGTGCTGAAGGTCGAGGAAAGGAAAGTAAACGGGTAATTCCGTATGCTTGCGTGTAGCAGTAACGTTGTCAGTGTTGGACGTTATACCGGGCGCCATATTTGAGAATCGGTGTGGGAGGAAAGCATTTATGTCTTCGTCGTTGTTGTGACTGTACCTGATATGACTCTATGTATATAGCATGGCCAAAACAAAACCTGTACAGTATACCAGCCCTCATGTACTCATATAAATATATATATAAATATATCTGTCTGGTCATTTTCGGTAAAATTATTTAAAATTTTAAGTTTGTTTCTTGTTTTTTTTAATTATGTATACACTAATAAATGAGTATTTGAAGAAATAAATCATTTGTATGTAAAATAAGAATGCTCGTTATAATCATCCAACTTTATTCTTAAGCGTGTTGGCTTTATTATTTTAAAAATAATAATAATACAATTGGGATTTTATATAAAAATTATATCAGGAGTGTACACTAGAAGATGTGGAGGGAGAAGAAGTGATCGAAATTCCGGTAATTTTGTCTGAAAATCTTTAATGAAATAAATTAATTTTTAAATAGAAAATGAAATGAATTAATGAACATATCAATCGCAAAATAATTTGAATATTTTATGTATAAAATTATCTAAAATTTAACTTTCTATCATGTATTTTTCTACATAAAATTACATTTTCTCTCTATTTCTCTAATCTTTCCCTCTTTAAAACTGAGATAGGATTTTTTTATTAAGAGGAAAAAAGCAATTTTACATTAAGTAAAGATGCTTGTTGGAAGGATAGAGAAAGAAAAAGAGAGTCAAATTGGTTAGTTATTCGCTGATAATGTTAAGATGATATAAATTCGGAATGTAATGTAATAAATTATTAAAGCAGAGAAATTTTATATTAAAGGAAAATTCAATTTATGTGAAAGGAATGCTTTGAAAATTAAGAGGAGAAATTAGAGAATAGAAGCTTTACAAATTTTAAAATTTTTAAATATTTTTTCCCTGGAAGCTAATTTAATACAGTTTGGCTCAATGGGAATTATCGCTCTGACTCGCTGCATTGCTACGAATTTATTTTTATTTATTTGTGAAATTTCTAAAAATATTTATGACTGATAGGCATTATTTATGCCTATTTAGGCACGAATATCCTTAACATGAAAGATTGAGATATTAAAATTGTATTTTTAACAGCTCGTATGGTTCCTATTTATAAAGCAACACGTATCAATTGAAGGCATCGGAGGAATGTCAGGAAAGATCATCCAAAACAAATGAAAGCTCGTTTGTTATGTAAATTTGACAATTATGCAATTCTTAGTGATATTATCGGCTTAATTTTGTCCGTCTGAACTAACAAATGCAGTCATGGAGACGAGAACACTTATTCTTAACCACGACTTTAATGACAAACCTGCATTAATATCTTCATGTTGTAATCTCTGTTTGTAAACCTCATAATTCGTGGAATAGAAAAAACATAGTGTAATAATAGTTTAGCCTTTAACGAGTTTTTAGTGGACTTATCAAAAAGCCATTATGGAGAAGAAGAAGAAAAAGAAGAAGAAAAGGAGGAGACTCGTCGTTTTCTTTATGATCAAAGTATTAACATAAGTAATTATTAAGTGTTACACTAACAAGAAAATTGAATTTTGGGCGAAATTTCTGATAGAAGAATGAAAAATGAATAAATTCGGGAAATTTAATTAATGTTGGAATTTTGTGTCGCCTTAAGGATTTCTCTTAGCAATAATCAAATCAGCATTTTCGTTAAATATTCAGATCGCACCTGTTACATTACCTGTCGGATAAATTCCCTAAGGAATATTGGATTTCTCAGCTATTGGTGTCTTTCATAAGTTTAATATTAAAGCCTGCTACTGTAAAATCATCTTCAAAACGATTCTTAGTAAATATTAATTTATAAAAATATCCACTTTTTCTCCTCTGTCGAATTCCACTTAAGGATTTTTCGGCTTTCTTTAAATGTATAATTCTTCTTTAATTTTAAAAAATATATTAAAGGTTAAAGGCTAAACCATATTAAACTATACATATCTCGGAATTAAATATATCAAATGCAAATTTTATAAAAGAGTATTAGAAATATCGCATTGCAAATGCGATTAGATGGCTGCTGCTTTAATATTTAATAAAATAAATAAATAAATAAAAAACGAGAAATTTTAATCTTATTTTTGATATAAATATACATAAAATATTTAAATAAATGCAATATGGCATATAGAAAATTAAAGAGATGTATCGAATTGCAAATCTTGATTAATCTGAGTGTAAGAGCATCGTTTCCAGCCTCCAATTTACGGAATAAACGTCAACATATCACATTCCTCTCTTATTTTACGTTATCTGCACTTTTATATCATATATATATTTTTTTCTATCGCTATCCTGATTTTCTTCCGCATCCATTCTCCAATAATCAAGAAATGTACTTCCAACATCTCTCCATCTTCCAGCTTCTCCATTCAGCATTCGTGATGTTTGGAATCTTTCCAATATTCAACCTGTTTCCTCTAGCAAATCTTTAGCCATCTGTTCAAGAAAATATGATAAAACTAAAACGATTAAAATATTAATTTAAAAAAAAATTATAGTTNTACACTTTCTCGTTTTATTCTTACTTTTCTGGGGCGAATTAATTCGAATATTTAAATATACATTTCTTTCAATCAAGAAAATTTCAAGAATACAGCAAGGTAGACAATTGATAATTCTTTTTTCTATTTAATGATTTATTTAATTGATATCTCGTATTTTCAAATTCGAATCCATTCATGTTATCACTATCTCAATCAGTAGCGTAACCAGAGAAAACCAAAAGGCTAAGGCCTCCTTATCTTTGTAAATAAATAAATTCTTTTAAATTCTTAAAAGTTATCATCCGTTTCTTAATAAAGAAGGTTGAACTTTATTTTCAAGAAGCTCGAAATTATGTAAAAATATTTATTAAAATGCTAACAAGATCTTAATAATAACACATATAATAATATATCATCGATCTGTTTGTCTATATATCATTACTATAACAGCTAATGATGTCTTTCGTTTTATGTTTTTGCATTTATTATCCATGGCTAATTAACTTTAAATATTTTTTACTCGAAACCGAAGCTTCCAAGGAAGAATTTTCGATTATTTTTTTTCCTATAAATATTATTTAATTCCGTTTAAATCCGTAAATAATTTTTCTTATTCATTTTATAAATTGAAAGGTTTTAATGTCGTTTTTTTTTAAAAAAAAAAAAGGAAATTTAATTTAAAAATTAATAAGATAAACAACGTTTTGATGTCTGGTTTGCATTCATTTCTAATGGTTCAGTAAAATATGAGAATTCTTTTTCATACAGTAGTAATTGGTTGGACATTACTGAGATTTTCTTGCTTACAATCTCAGTTATGTGATTCCAAACAAAGAAAGCAGTCTTCTTACTTATCTTCCCCTTGGGGAACATTATTAAACTAGCTAAATAATAGGCTATTTATTAACATTACAATCCCAGTTTGGCGTATGATGAGACGAGAAATTTAATTATTTAAATTTGTTTAGAAAATTTTAAAAGTTAATAAGATTTTTAAATATCATTTGCAAGGCAATAGATACTCCTTTATAAAACGTTAGAAAATAAGAAAGAAAAAAAAAGGAAAAAATGGAGGAAGTTTTAGCCTTTAAAAGTTGGAAAGGAAAGTTATTTTGAAAACAAATTGCTAAGAGTGGAAATGCTACTACAGTAACAAATCCTTGCGGAATGGTTGAAATGTTTGGTGTTATTTCTTCAATTTTCTTTAACTTGCATAGAATTGCTGTGTTTACGAGTTTCGAGTGTGAGATAAAGTATCCAGGAGAGATCTTTGATACAACAATAATCAAAAGAAATAAATAAAGTTCCATTTACAGAAATATAAAAGTGGAGAGGAGACTATCACATGCCACATTTATATACAATTTATTTATTATTAAAAATTACACATCGATTTAAATACGTATCTATTTTTTTTAATGTGATGGATACGAGCCAAAATAATGTTCGATTAGGGAAACTGCCAACATATTAAGTGGTCTTTAACATGGTTACACGAACTTCTGGTCTCATTTTACAATTGTTTTCTTGTCATCTTACAAATTGTAGAGAGATTTAGATAATATTTTTATTGATCTAATTGTATGATGTAGACAATTCTACAATTTCCGCATCTCTCTAACATTAAGGAGAGAAGTGGAATAACTGGACCGTGAGATATTTTCATGAATTATATTAATATACCAGATAAAAATTTATATAAAAAAGTTATTAATGTATTGTAAAATGATTTTTTACTGTACTTTAAAGATGCAGAATTTTTATAAAAGCGTAAAATTGAGTAAGTTCGATCCATATCTTTCAAAATGTAATATTAAAAAAAGTAAGAAAAATTTATGTTAAATTCGTGAGGAAAAATCAAATTTGAAAAAAATAAATAAACAGGAAAAAATTGAAGAATGCAAAAAGAATTTTTCTATAGGATGGCTTCAAAAATAACATTTTCTATGTATTTTTGAACCCATCCTATATATATATAAGCCTATATATTGTTACTTCCGCACTACATTAAAGTCAATGCATTATCCGCACATTCGAAGAAAGCATTATAACTCTGGTTAAACACAAATTCAATAAACATACAGAAAGGATATGGATTCTATATTCAGATCTCAGGAAATTTGGTGATCCATAAACTGCCAAAAATGTCTTTGAATAACCTGCATAATTCCCAACTTCTTGGAATCGTATCGATCTCTAAATTACAGTTAAATGTTACTTTTCTCTATTATTTCCGACCGATATAAAATTATATATTATAATAATTAGTCTAAAATGTCATTGTATAAATTCATTTTCCATGGTCCTCTTCGGGTTAATTTGATAATAATGTATGAAGTCCCGTACGAGTATTGAT